TTAAAAATACCTATTCATACTTAAATAAATATTTAATAATCATAGGTTTATCCCTACATCTCATATTCCACATAAATTCAACCATATAGATCTAGATTTTAACTCAAAAATTCTTAAACATGAGTTTCAACCTCAAGAAAATATTCTATAATATTTATTATATCCTAAGAGTTTTAACCTATATTTTTAATCCATCATATCATCAGATTAACTATCTTATAGAAAAATCCTAATCAAAATATTTACTCTATCCTACAAAATAATCATATCACTAGAAAGCTAATATTATTTAGAAAATAACTATAAAATTAATTTTGTAATTAAATAAATTTTTAAATGCTAATCTAAACAGGAAAGTTAGAACATACCTGAAGAAAAAGAAAATAATCTCCCCTTATGAGAAAACACCGAGCAACGTGAGAGGAAGAGAGAAAAATAATATAAAAATGGGATTGTGAGTCCCAAAATTATATTTAAAAAAACTATAGGTTCCAATTTAATTATTCAAACCTTTAGGTCAAAAGTTGCAATTTCTTCTAAATTGCATCTTAGCCTCTCATGCTTCCTAATGCACACACCCCCTCCTTTTTATACATGAAGGCACCTCTTCTCTTCCCTCATCTAACCAATGTAGGACTTAGAAACAACAACCTTCCACCCCCCTTTTTTTTGTTCCTTCTACCTTCTCTTTTTTTTTAAACACACACATAAAAAAAATTATTTATGTATTATATCTTAACTAAATATTGCTTATGTGGTTTTAAATTTAAATTTTTAAATTCATAATTAAATACTTAATCATAATATTATTTCTAAATAACCTCAAATAATATAAATTCCTATTATTATCATTTTTTTTCTCAAAACCTAAATTCCACAATTTTTTATTATATAAAAATTAGGATGTTACAAGGTTTAAGGCAAGGGGACCCACTTTCACCTTATTTTTTTGTGCTTCGGAAGTTGGCACCATTTAAGTTTGAAAAGAAGTTTTAGAAGTTAGTATTTTAAGAAGTAAACCTTTGATATCTCAAAGGTTGAAAGTAACTGAAAAAAAATCTAATTTGTATAGTTTTTTATTAATTAATTATTTGTTAAATCAAATTGTTTAAAACTTGTTGGGTGTTTGAAAACTCTTTGATGCAAATTTTGACAACATGATGATTATGTGTGAAATTGTGCCGAGTTGTTGGAATAATAATATGCATGTTTATTTATATAACTAATGATAATGATTTAAAAAACATGATATTATGAAAATGAGGAATATACGATATTTAACATGTGGAGTACGTTGGAGTGAGAAAATTGTCTGAATATGATATGAGGTCATGAATTGTGCTAAAATGACATATTAAGTGTCAATATGTGCATAACATGATCATCGGTGAAAGTTTCACCTAAGAAAAGGAGTAAATTGGTAAAATCACGTGGTAATGGCAACTTACCGTTAGAATTGGAAACTTGTTTTGGTACCAAGTGGGGAGGTAGTCTTAGTCCCATAATTGATTCAGGATTGTTTTACATATTTTTTGAGGGATTCAAACTTAATTAATTTTTACTAGTTCACGAGGAAGTTATATTATGGGTGTGACACCACATGGTTATTAGTATTAGGAGAAACCACAGTGCAAGAGTGAGTGAGTTTACCTTACCCAATAACTCTTCACAAGTTGAAGGTTAGGTTAGTTCGAGTTGTAGATGTAGCTATTTAATAGTCATGGGTTTCATGTCGAAGGTATTACGAGAGTATAAGGTTGGCATTGATCATGCATTTAGTTCTAACCACATGATTGTTATTGTTGTGGTTTGGCGTATTTTAGGGGCGCATGGTTGTTGTTTTTATGACTCCAAGATATGTATAATTGTGATATATCCAATGATATGTATTGCATGCCTGGTCACATGGTTGTTATTATTGTAGTCGAGGCTATATTTGATACGTATACATGCAATATGTGAATTTATTGCCATTTGCATATATGATTAATTAATATGCAACTATATAGGCTCGGTTGATCTTGGTTACTGAGTGGTTGTATTCATCTCTTATTATTTAATATTGCAGGGCCTAGCCCTTCTGATCAGGATTGGGAAAAATGATCGGAGGCATAGAATTTCAAGTAAATCCTACTTGTATACCTCTTAGTTTTAAATTATGTGTATTAATCATTGTTAATTTGCCAACTAAGATTTCATTCCATTATTTTGTCTACTTGCATTATAACTAAAAGTATTTTGTGTCCTAAACTAGTGATATGTGGTTGTAAAACTTAAATAAGATTGAAATATATAAGGTAAAGTGTGATTGAGTTGTTTCTGGATAGATATTGATGATTTTATGCAAGTTATCTTTCCCTTCTTGTTTCTGTGAATCAAGGGGTTGAGTAGTGAATTTGTTTAACATGTATAATTGATTGATTATGATGTGTTGCACGAGTTCAAATTGGTCCATTGAATGTGGTCTAAGGGTTGGTGTAAACTTTTGACGCACGTGTTGGAGTTTGGACACCCTAGATGCGAGTTAATGTGAAAAAGAAGTAAGATTTATATTGGGTGTCTAATTTTTTGTAAAAAAATGATTTAATTATGAAACTTGTGCTATTAGCTAGATTTAGAAAAAAACTCTTTGTAGATACCTAAATCACATGAATCTAATGTAAGACAGAGAGATGGGATGCGTTTGAAGTTTATTCTGGGTGCTATCATAAAATTTGCTATCAAATTTGTGTGATGCGCTATGGTGCATGGCATAGAGGTAGTGCGTCATGGCATGGGAGTGTTAAGTCATGATGCACGTGTCATTTTGGTAGAAAATGAGTTCTTGTTTCATTTGCCAGTCCTTTTACTTGCTTTTGGAATCTCATGCTTCCACACATATTTTAACCTCCGATTTGTGAATGTTTGATGGTTTATGGGAGTGTTTTACATCATGAAAACTTGAGATTCCATTCATATAATTTGACAAACTTGATAATTATATTGATATTTGAAGATTGAGAGGATTAGTGAGGGTAATCTTACTTATCTAATCCATAGTTTATAGTTGCAATGTGAGTGGTGCATTATTCTAAGGCATATTGGTAGAGAAGATAATATGGTAGCTGATTTCTTTACTAAGAGAGCTCATGCTCTTCCTTCAGGCCTTCACATGCTGTCAAGAGACCTAGTCATGGGTGTGATGTGTGACGATGCTATTACATAATTGTTTTGCTTTTTTGTTATTTTCCAATGTATAAAAAGAAAAGAAAAGAATGCAACTATTGTTGGTGCATAACCTAACATTGAACATCATAATTATGAACTATTCCAAGAGCTTCGTCAACTTCTTCATAAAATTTATGAGGTTAGTCTACAGCACATGAGACAAGATTGGAATGAGGTTGGCTAGGGAAGGACTTGATTTAGCCCCTGGTTTGCGCTTGTTTAATATACCTATAAATGGTCTCACTCAGTTTCTTGTTTTTGATTGGCGTACTAAGGTTTTAATGGTCAATTTCTAAATAGCTTGGCTACCCCTCTTTCGAAAAAAAAAGAAAAAAAGAGTGCAACTGTTGTTAATATTTAATGTATTTTGCTAGTTATTGAACAACCCATTTACCTTTTATTTCCTTTTCTGCTATCGACCATCCATTGCTTGGAAGTCTCTTCTCTCCCTTTGTGTTTGTCATTAGTTATGATGAGTTTATAAATTTGATAATTTTATGATTGGCAATTCATATATATTTTTATTTATTAAATAGATATAATTAATTTTTTTATCATTTACAAATATTTGTTACAATAATATATCAAATCTTTTTATTTTTATAATTATAATTTTAATATTTTTCATAAATAGATGGAATTATAATATTATTTGCTTGTGATATATATACTCATGTCTTTTTCAGCTATCATGCATCTAAGTTTGCTCTTATATTATATCATTCAAAGAAATTTTGATTTGTTATAGTGACTTAAGTCTAAAAAAAAGTACAATATAACAATGATGAGTAATGTACACAAGAAAAACCTTTAAGCCATGTTCAATATTCATTTCCTTTTTTTTTTATTACAATAAAATACAGAGCAAGGTTTTTTATATAAGCAAAAACAATCAAAATTAAAATGTAATCACGACATGTTTTCAGATTTGCCTCTTATTAAAATTTTTTATTAAATACTCCTCTAATTCTATATATAAAGAAGATATAGAAGATTAATTTTAATTTTATTTATAGAACATTTCATTATTTTTTATGTTCATATTTACTTTTCTGCTATTATTATTAAATAATAAGAAAAACTAGTAAAAATAGTTCTTTTTGTTTTTATTATGATGTAGTGATAAAAATTTATTAAATTTTAAAATAAAATTAATGAAATTTATAATTTTTTTATTCTGATGAAACATGTGACTCATAGATAAGATGAGATGAGTAAATATTATTAACTTGAGAATAAAGTTAAACATTACAATGGACAATAGAACCTCCCTCAATTTAAAAACCTTAATGTAAGACCATCTCCATTCCAAACACAATAGATGACCTCATTTCAACTATTTTCGTGAAAATGTAAGTCAAATACAGATATGGAAATCAAACATGCGCGAAAGATAACTCTTTTTTTTTTTTTTTTGGCTAAGACAATTGAAGTATCATCACTCAGAATTCTTCACGCATCCCATACTGCCTTTTAGTTAAAAACAAGCAAGTGTAATTAACCGTTTTTTATAATGAGTAATAAAGTCTAATGTTTCCATTCCATTAAAGGTAAAATACGCGCCTAAGAAATTAGCCACGCCAAACAAATACTTTCATGGAATATTATAGCAAAGCTTTGGGGGCAGATTTAGCTTAGCGTGGCCACTGTGAAAAATGGTCAAACTACAAAAGTACAAAGTACAAGTAGCATAGTTCCTGAACCAAATTGCAAGAAAAATGCGAGGATTCGCCAGGGTTGTAATTTGATGCAAAGAAAATGAGGGGAGCGCAAGGAGCACGCAGCGGCTTGAAGGATTTGGAGTTGTGACGACCTAAGAAGTCCGAGAATCAAACTTGACTGGAGAAAATGAGAAGCAGAAGAAGAAAAGCGGAAGGGCAATCGCTGGGAATTGTGCTGCCAAACACGATCACATCGCTCACTGTCACTTCTCAAAAAGCTTAGTTATTATCAAAAGTACAACACCATTCTCGTTCTCACTTGCTCTGCATCCCATTTAATCCCACTGTTAAAAAAAGGGGAAAAAAAAGTGAAAGGAGTTTTGGCCCTTTGATACGGTCATCTCTCGGTCCCATTCTTGTCTTTCCCTCTTTCCATTCTCTCTCTTCACCCTCGACCCCTACGTCGCCCCCCTCAAGCACCTCCTCGAACCTAAAAACCCAAACCCCACTTTCACTGTCCGTCCAATCCCACTCCATCTTCGATCCGCACATTCTTAAATCTTCATCGCAGCTTCTTCGCTGAACAATGTTACCGGTCCCGCGTCATAACTCACGGGCTTCCAACTCCGGACCAAAACTCAGATGATGGAACTCACCGATTCCGGCAACGAACTCAGGGACCACAAGCTGACTCAAGATTCTCGCTCTGGACTGGGAATCGACCTCAATGAGATCCCCTCTCCTTCTTTTGCCGAAACCCTACCGGACTCCATCGACATCGTACGCGCGTATCACGAGAACCCGGCGCCTCCGCCCGGCGGTCCGGCGGGGATTCCCGGTGACGTCCGCGGCTCCACTTGCGGTGCCTGTGGCAAGCCCGAGGCGCGGGGTCATGTTGTGGTCTGCGACGGGTGCGAGCGCGGCTACCATCTGGGCTGCGCGGGAATGCGTGGGCGACAGGCCATAAACCTTGACGAATGGGTTTGTGGAGAGTGTGTTTCCAGTGGGGTGAAGAGTAAGCGTTGGCCATTGGGTGTCAAGTCCAAACATCTTTTAGATATCAATGCTTCGCCACCCAGCGATGCTGACGGCGAGGGTAGTGAAGAATTGCAGGATTTAAGGTACGAAAAGTGTAGCATTCTTTTTAAACCTTTCGTCTGCTAAGCTTGATCTCAGAGTTGATGAACTCTAAGTATTTGTTTGGTTGCCATGTTAATTAGCTATATTTTTGCCAGTAAAATGCTTGTCTCTCATGTTAATTGAAAATTTAGGACTTTATCAAAGAATAAATAGACAAATAACAATGAAAGAAGTACTGGATGAAGTCAAATTAGCGCGAAAGATATCGTTTAGACGTCCTGATGTGTCGTTAATCTATTGACAAGCGTATTTCCTTGTATTCGTTGCTATGCATGTAAGTGGGTATATCCAAGCCAAGGCCACTGTTACCGGAACTTTGCATAATCACAATTCCTGTAAATAATGACCGTTTTTTGAGTTTCAGACCAAACGACCTTCTCTAAGAAACTGTTGGCTTGAATAACAAATACTACATTACGCTTGAAATTCTTTGTACCGCAGTGGATCCTGTTTTTTTATGCTCAATATACGATGCCCTTGTTGTCCATCAAGTTATTCTACTTCTGTTTCATTTGATTTTTATGCTTGACCAAAGCAGATATGTTTAGAACGATAATGGGCAGCCAAATTTGTTTTGCCCTGTTTCACACTATATCAGCTGGGCATATAAAATTTTTATCATATTATTTTGTTTTTGCCAAATTAAAAATCTTATGTAATATGAACCTGGCACTATTGGCAGACAAGATATTATTAATCAATGTTCAATATCTTATCACTTTGACAGTCATGCTTATGCTTATTAAAACATAGTAAAGCTGGTTATCTTGGCTGCTTTTTGCTGAACTTCTGTCTTTCTTTGTTGACGACTTGGTGGCATGTATGGGGTGCTTTAGTTTGTATTGTTGTAAGATTTTTTCTGGTTTCATTGGTGTCTTATATTATTTGTTTAACAGCTCAAATTTCCTTAACCCCTCCTCATATGAAGTAATTTTTTTTTTACCTTTATTTGGGTTCTAGAATGCACAATGAGGGTCATAATTCTTTCAGTGCCAACTCATTTGGCACCGCATTGACATATTCAAACTTCTACAATGGTAATGCTATTGGCTTCCAAAAAGCATCTGGAGTTGTGACACATGCTGTTAGAGTGGGTTTTGAGGACGTATTGAATCATACACAATCAGTAACTAGAAATTATGAGGAGGTAGATATGGGTTTGCCTCCTGGAAGTCATAGGAATGTTAAAAATACAGCCGCTGGGAATCCAGGAGAGTTAATTTTGCAAGCTCTCAGAGATTTTATATCTGAAAGGCATGGTGTTCTGGAGGAAGGTTGGAAAGTGGAGTTTAGACAACCAATGAGCAGCTCTGAGCTGTATGCTGTTTACTGTGCACCAGATGGAAAGATTTTTGATTCTGTGTTTGAAGTAGCGTGTTATCTAGGGCTAATGCCTGGCTACAACTCCCTGGAGTCTGAAACCAGAAATGACAGGCCTGTCTCTTCATCAGGTGGGTCTCATTTAACCAGAAAAAGAAAGTCAGCTAGGCTTCCAGTCGCTAATGGATTTGCTGAAAGAAGGGAAAACTTTACCAATAGTTGTTTTAAAGATCCTCCTTCGGATGCTGCAAGTGCAGAGTGTGCTAATGCATGTGGGAACATATCAGAAGCCACAGTAAGCGGAAGGAAAGAGGATGATCACTCTTGCCCTCAGCAATCTGCTGTAAGTGAATCCAATTCATTTGTCATCCTCTTCATGTAGATGATTTCTAAGTTCAAGTTTTCCCATGTGATAATACATAGACAATACTGTATGGTTTAAAGAAATAATTAATGTTTTGTATAAATTAGCTAATGTTGGCTGTTTTGCTGCGTGTTTATATTTCAGGATGGCCTTCCTTTACAGTTTGAAGATTTTTTTGTTCTTTCTTTGGGAAAGGTTGATGATAGACCTTCTTATTGTGATGCTAACATTATTTGGCCCGTAGGTTATAAATCTTGCTGGCATGATAAAATTACAGGCTCCATTTTTACATGTGAAATTCTGGATGGTGGTGATTCTGGTCCTATATTCAGGATCAGACGGTGTTCCTGTTCTGATTTTTCTATTCCAGTTGGGTCAACTATCCTCTCAATGTCTAACCTTTGTCAATTTGTTAGTCGAACTAATGAAGATGAGGGAAAGATGAATGATAATATGGAATGTGATGGTGATGAAAGTATCCAGATGATCCTAGTTGACCCTTGCAATCCAACAGAAAATGATGTATTGAGCTGTCTTGAAAGTTTCTCTGGTGAAGCACATGATAGCCATACATTAGATGTATTGCAGCCTGCCGCTGGTCCAGTTCAAGATGAAACTCATAATTTATCTGACAACTTGGGTTCAGTTGGTGAGATTGTGGTGGAAGAGTGTTCGTCATCCTCAGCATGGAAAGATATTTCTCAAAAATTAGTTAATGCTTGCAGTGAAATATGCAGGCAGAAAGGGACTCTAAAGCTCTATTGTAAACACGTTGAAAATGAAATGTATGTACATAAATGGGACATAAGGAATGACAAAAATGAACCCACTTCATTTGGTAAATTTTGTGGGTCCCCTGTTCTTGGTATCCCTGCCATGGTTCATGCAGATAATGATCTTGAAAGTTTGTATGAGGTCTTAAGAAAATGGTTGGAGCAAGATAGATTTGGGTTAGATGTTGAGTTTGTCCAAGAAGTACTCGAACTACTTCCTGGTGTTGAAGGATTTTCACGGTATGAATTTCTGGATGCTAGAAGTAATAGCTCCTCGTTGCCAACAGTTGGAAATGGGTTCTTGGTTGCTGATTGGAGGGATAGATCCCAATATCAGGATGAAACAGTGCAAGGTTTATATAGGAGACACAAGAAAATAAAATTGTTCAGGGAATGTGTTAAGAAGATCATTGTCCACCTCCTGGGAAGCCACTATCCTCTAGGGTTCCTTTTGAACTTGTTGGTGATGTTCTTCAGGTACATGGATGCTACTTGTTGATGGTCCAGCTGAAATCTCTCTTTTATAATCTTTATCCTTTGCCATTCTTTGTTTTTTTTTTTATTTGTATGTATGCAAAATCTTAGATCGTTTTTGTTGGTACCTCCAGGTTTGGGAACTATTACACAGATTTCATGAAATTTTGGGCCTGAAGGAACCTTTGTCATTGGATGAGCTGGAGAAGGAACTCATCAACCCATGGTTTAATAGATCAGTCTTTAATGAAAAACTTGAGAGTGATGGCTGTGGTGGACCAATGTTATCCCCAAACTGTGAAGCTGCTCCTTCAGTTTCTGCTGGAAGTCCCCATGCATTTATTCAAGTGGAAACTGAAGCCATGAAAGAGGCAGCTCAAGTTAAGCTTGCATTGTTCACTTACACCACATGCTTTGGTGCTTCTTTGACCAAGGCTCATAATTCCTTGCTGGAGGTTTTAATAGGTGAACTGCAATCCAAAGTGGCTGCCCTGGTGGATCCAAATTTTGATCCTGGAGAGCTCAGAACAAAACGTGGAAGAAGAAAAGATGCAGATAGCACTGTTCCTGCCCGACGAGCCAAGCTTAATATGCTTCCTATTAATGAACTAACTTGGCCTGAATTGGCTCGTAGATACATATTAGCTGTCTTATCAATGGATGGTAACCTTGACTCACCAGAGATTACTGCACGAGAAAGTGGTAAAGTATTTCGCTGCTTACAAGGTGATGGTGGTTTGCTGTGTGGCTCCCTTACTGGTGTGGCTGGGATGGAAGCAGATGCATTGGTAGGAATGTCTTATTTTGTGATCTGCTAAATTTTATCTTTACGTTAATTATGATGATGAGATGCTTGTTTTCTTCTGGAGGGAGGGTATATAACTTCTAAGAAATGGGTTTTTTGGGGTTTGAAGGTAAGAAATTATATTCAGAGATTGTAGGATAAATGGATAGAATTTTGGGTTTAATGCCTGGATGGCTAGCTGACATAGTTGGCATTCCCTGCTCCATGACAGAGCTTTGTGTTTCTCTTTCCAACGTTTGCTTTGGGTTAACGAGTTCAGCATTAATTTAGGGTGTGGAAGCCAAGTGCAGTTTGTTATTAACCAGATGATGTGGAATCCGTAAAGGGACTGTTAACAGTAGTTTTTATTCATGGATCAATAAATTGGAGAATGTCATTGTTGATCAGAAAGAAGGATGTCTTTAGTATTTTTGAGTGAACTAAGTCTTTTGTCTAAAGGAGGACTGTAACCGAGGAAAATCATAATTTCATTGAGATCTTCAAGTAGAGAGTTTATCGTTATCATTATGCTGCAGATAGTGCCATTGATATGCTGGGGAGAAGAGTTATGGCACTTGTTTAAAAAACTTTTAATCATTTGGGAAGTCACACTAGTCAGTAATAACTCTAGTATTTTCTCCCAAGGAAAAGTAGTTCTTTTCTAAATGTGCTTAGCACTTCACATTGAACCTGTTCCTTTTTTTAGAGGTTTAGCTGACATCATGAATCATCCATTGTGTTGTTTTTTTTTTTTAATCTGTGTAACTATCGAATGGCCAAACAACATTTTCTTAAACCGCTTGTTAGGATGATTCTCTGATCAGGTTCTTTTTTCCTTCTGCATAATGCTGTGTGCTGCCTTATATGACGTGGCATTAAGGTGATTTTAATATGCATCTTGATGTGTCTTATCTTTGTTAGTCTCATCCAGTTTGTGTCTGCTTACTGTTTCTTTTAGAACAGCTTCTTCTTCATCATCATCTTAAATAAATTTTTTAAAGCAACATAAAGTTTTTGTTTTTCCTGTTGCTGCTGGTCCAATGTTTCCACAATGTGACTAGATAGCATTTTCCAATTTTCCAAATAAAGTAATACTTGTTTGTGATGACGAGAATTACAGCAAAAGAGTTTTTCGTTTGACTTTCAGTTGCTTGCGGAGGCTACGAAGAAAATTTTTGGTTCTGTGACTGGTGAAAGTGATGTACTTACCTTTGAAGATGAGGAGTTAGATGCAAAGGATGCTTGTGAGAAAACTTCAGTGAATGATGGTAGTATTCCAGAATGGGCACAGCTGCTAGAGCCTGTAAGAAAACTACCAACAAATGTGGGAACCAGAATCAGAAAGTGTGTCAATGATGCCTTACTTAAGGATCCTCCAGAGTGGGCTAGGAAAATACTGCTACACTCAATTAGTAAGGAAGTGTACAAGGGCAATGCATCTGGACCTACAAAGGTGTTAACCCATGGAACTTCTGTTGTACATTTAATTTGTTTTCTTTATGTGCAATGGTACGAGCTTCACACATGAAAATGGAATATGCTTATTTGACCCACCACCATGATGTCATAATTCTCTTAAATTTTTTGTGCATTGTTTGTTTAATTTTCAGCTCTCTTTCCTGTTGGTGCTTTTAAGTTTAGCTATTGAAGATGAGAGTTTTTGGCATTACATTTCTACTTCCTGAGGAAGACTATCCAAAATTTGGTCGTATTTCACCTCATAAATGACAGTTTAAAAAATTTTAGGCTTCTGGATATCTTTAACTTTATTGCCTAAACAGGCAAATATCTGCTTTTGCCATTTCATAACTCAAATTGAATCAAGTGCCAAAAGTGACAATTGCTTGTAGTTGTTACATTTAAGACCTTGCTAGTTTCCTCATTTCTTTACGATAATTATTGTTTTCCTAGTTATAATATTACCTGTCACAATATGCAAGCTACCTTCTTGTACTTGGAGTATTTATTATGAAAACTTTTTTTGTGCAATGTAACTTGCCCTTTATGGAATGAGAAGGGGCGGGGGAGTCTTTGTAGATTTTATATGTAGCAGGAGTTTTGTAGTTTTTATATTTGGTATTACTGGCATCTTTCAATTAGGTTGCCGTAGATGGCCAAACTCTATTGCCTTTGGACTTGTGACTGAGGGTTAAAGAGTAGCCTTATTTAATTTGAATGGAATTCAATAATTGACTAAGAGCCTTAATTTTGAGCCTGAAATTGGAATGATAGTTCGCATAGAACTTTCAACGGAACTTGTTTCTTGAATGGCTACCATGATTTGCTTCCTTTTTTATCATTTCTTTATCTGACATTTGTGGTTTTTCTTACCCTTTCTTTCTCAAAGAAAACTGTACAACTATTCAAGTTCAGTGTTGCTAAGGCTTGGTGCTAGTCTCTATTACATTCCAATATGATAGTTCATCTGGTTAAAATAGCAGGCTTAATTTTGGTTTAAATTTTTGAGTATACTGTATGAAACTGATCCTGAATTATAATATTTGTTTGATAACAGAAAGCAGTTCTTTCTGTGTTGGCTGATGTATGTGGTGAAGGATCGCAACAGAAGCCCAATAAAGGAAGGAGAAAAAAGACCGTAATATCTATTTCTGACATTATCATGAAACAATGTCGCATTGTATTACGCCGTGCTGCTGCTGCAGATGATTCCAAGGTTTTTTGCAATTTGCTGGGACGAAAATTGATAAATTCTTCTGATAATGATGATGAAGGGCTTCTTGGATCTCCAGCCATGGTGTCTCGTCCTCTTGACTTCAGGACCATTGACCTACGACTGGCTGCTGGGGCTTATGGTGGATCTCATGAAGCATTTCTTGAGGATGTTCATGAGGTCTGTTCTATAAAAATTATGTTGCTAGGCTAAGCTTTCCACCAATATTTTTCTTTCCCCATATTATTCGTTGGAGTCTTTGATCATATACACATTCTTATCGAAAATTTATCCCATTGTTTTGTATATTAAGCTGTCAAGTGCAACTCCCAACTTGCAGCTGAAAACTCGAAGCCTTCTCCATGCCAATATATTTGTGATTTTAGAAAACAATTTTTTCCTCCTCGGTCAAGTTAAAAGGGTCTATTGTCAAAATTCCTGATTTAATTGGCCAAACTAGTCTTAATTGTAAATCTCTGGCATCAAAGTGCTGAACCTCAGCAAGAGATTTCCTATAATACAGGATATTAGAAATAGGAAATTCTCTGCATTTTTTTATGGTGCTTCATAGATTTTGATCTTCCTTTTTTTTTTTAATCACCCCTATCTTTCTAGTCTTTCCTTCATTGTGTGATGATATCTCTAAGTGTATGCATTCCATTTTTATTGATTATTCTAAATTGCTGTCATTTTTGGATTGTTCATCTTGAAGATCTTGAAATTTCTTCTTTTTTTTTAAAAGGTTAGTGTGTCTTTTCTTGCTAAAGTTGCATTTCTATCACTATACAATATTCTAAAGGGTTGCTATGAATAGCATTTCCTCTATTCTACTCGTTTGTGCGTGGCGGAAGGGGTGTCAGGCTTGATTTCCTTTTCTTCCTCATTGCATACTAATCTCTAAACGCATTAAGATAATTCTGGGTTACTTTTACAATTTTTATAACTATTCAAGTGCATTGATTTTTACTTCTGATATTGCAGCTGTGGAACAATGTTCGTATTGCTTTTGGAGATCAACCTGATTTAGTTGAGCTGGCTGATAAATTATCTGAGAATTTTGAATTGTTGTATAATAGTGAGGTTGGTATCTATGTGCGGAAGTGTCTCTGTACATTTGTGCCTCATTTATTTAGAATTTAAATATTTTCCTTTCATGCAGGTTTTAACTTATGTTCAAAGGTTTGGAGAGTATGCCAAATTGGGAAACTTAAGTGCGGAAATGAGAAAAGAAGTGGAAAGTTTTCTTGCATCAACTAGTGAAATTCCAAAGGCCCCTTGGGATGATGGAGTCTGTAAAGTATGTGGCATTGATAGGGATGATGACAGTGTTTTGCTATGTGATACCTGTGATGCTGAGTATCATACTTACTGCTTGAATCCTCCGCTAGCAAGGATTCCTGAAGGAAACTGGTACTGCCCTTCTTGTGTTGACAGTAAACATGTAGTTCAAGATGTTTCACAATGTTCAAAACTTGTTGGAAAACCTAGAAGTAAGAAATTCAAGGGGGAGGTGACTTCGCTTTACTTGGAGGCTCTAACTCATCTACTATCTGTCATGGAAGAGAGAGAATATTGGGAGTACAGTGTCGGCGAGGTTTGTTGATAAAATCTTGTTTACTTTTGCTGCATAGCTAATGCATATAAACATTCTAATGAATGGAACAATAGTTTGTTTTTATTATGAACGGGAAATAATAGCATGTTTGTGGGAAATATTTTCGTGGCAATTGGATAGTAGGATAAGACTATTAATGTGACTGCTTTTTCTCAATTATCTTGTGATTGAAAAAGAAATCTATTAAAGAGAAGGGGAGATCGGGACAAAAAATTATGGAAACAGGAAAGAGAGGGTTTTTTTTTTGGGGGGGGGAGAAAAATCCCATTTAAACATCAAGGGACACTCCCCTAAAAAATCCATTTGCTTAAACGGGCTTCTATGTTAATTGATTTTCAATTCGTACCTGATCACCTTGGATATTTTTCACTGTCATGTATCTAAAAGTTTCTCATTAACATTTTTTTTAATAATGCAGTTTCTGGTTTTGTTTTGGTTTTTTTAGAGTTTCGAGTATTCTCACAATAAGTTCAATCAATTCTTATCTCTTGTATAACATGTTTTTAATAATACAATTTGAGATACCAATATTATAACAATTGTTTTGATTGATTACTATAATAAAAGGTCTAAAGTGCGCATTGATGGGATTGTGTAATGTGGTATGTGCTTTATTTGTGTAAATTTCTATTAATGATTGCAGAGAACTATCCTTCTCAAGTTTTTATGTGATGAGTTGCTCAACACTTCCCTCATACGCCAACACCTTGAGCAATGTGCTGAGTCATCTGCTGAATCACATCAAAAATTGCGTGCGCTTTCTGCAGAGTGGAAAAGCCTGAAAATTAAAGAAGAAATATTATCCAGTAAAGCTGCAAAAATTGACACATGCTCACTAGCAACTGCTGGAGAAGTTCTCAAAGAGGGGCTTTTGGGATCACTCTCAAATCCTGGTAAATGCCTGGTCCAGCCACATAGTGCAAGTGACAGTCCTAACAATTTTGGGGTATTTGTTGATAGTTTGCATTCAGAAGAGATAAATAAAGAGAAAAATGGTTTTCACAGTGTTGATAAAAGTGTATCGACAACGAATTCAGAGACTGATAGTCAGAAGAGAAATCCTGTAAATGTGGAGGGAGAGTTGAAGAATGCCTGTGCAGCTGTGGATGGTAGTCAGTTGCCTACAAATATGGCTTCCTTTGTGGATTCTCAATGTACTGACAAGTCTAGTAATCCTTTTTCAATGGTAAATAATATGCCTCAAGAAATTAACAGCTCTGGTGGAGCAGTTCATATCCAGGGTAACCAGCAGAAATGTGAAGGAAGAGATACATCTCTTGATCAGCAAGGATTAGGTGTCTCTTTTGATGGTCCCAAGTCTGCTGTGAATGAATCAGAAGCGTATCTCCTTGAGCTCAATGGTATCAGACATGATATCACACTTCTGCAGGAGTCAATAACTAGTGTTGGATCACAGCTTGTAAAGCTCTCTGTTCGTCGGGAATTTTTGGGAATTGATTCACTAGGTCGCTTTTACTGGGCTTCAGCAATGCCTGGCGGATGCCCGTGTATACTTGCTGATTCAACTGCTCTCATGTTGCGTGGGGGAAGAATGACAAATAGCAGAGACCCTGTGGATAAGATTTCTGCTTTGAAGAATTGTGCACTATCTGGCAAGGATACCTCTCAGATGTTAGGGCTGATGAAAGATTTCTCTCCTTTAATGTCTCTGCCAAGTAATACTGTAGGCTGTAATTCACCATGGGTTGCTTATCAAACTGATGCTGAAATTGAAGAGCTCTTGTGTTGGCTGAAGGATATTGACCCTAGAGAAAGAGAACTTAAAGATTCAATCATGATTTGGCAAAAGTCAAGATTCCAGGAGCTTATTCATATGCAGAACGAAGATCAGGTTGAGCCCCAAGGACCTTTTCCTTTGCCAGGGGATAAAGAGAAAATAGTGTCTGATTCTCTTGTTACAAAGGCAACCTCCTTGTTAGAGAAGAAATATGGCCCATTCTTAGAGTTGGGAACCCTTGAGGTGTTGAAGAAGCGGGGTAAAAAGGTGAGAACATCTAATGATGAAAAGTTGTATAGGTGCGAATGCTTAGAACCCATATGGCCTTCTAGGCAACACTGCATGTCTTGTCACAAAACCCTTTTGAATGATGTTGAACTGGAGGGACACAATGATGGCAAATGTAGTGCTGCTTTGTCTGCCTCACAGAAGAATAAAGATATCAGCGGATCTTCTAAAGGGAGAGGTAATTTGAAATTTGAGACCACCCATGAAAAGGCCAGAGGTAATGCAGAAACAGGTGGAACCTTGACGAGTGGAGGTTCTGAGCTTAGCTCAAGATTGATCAAGTTTTCAAATCAAGAATCCTCATACCCGTATGACTTTGAAGATGTATGTTCCAAGTTTGTGACTGAAGACTCCAACAGGGAAATTGTTAAAGAAATAGGTCTTATTGATTTAGATGGAATCCCATCCTTTGTTCCTTCTATATCTCCTTATGTTAGTGATTCTACAGTCATGCTAATATCAAACAAAAAGGATGAATATATTGCTGGTGGGTCCACGGCTCCTGAAGGGCAGATTCCTAGAGGAAGTGAAGGAAGTGGCTTGTGCCATGGCCATATATCAGGAATTCCTATTCGAAGTTCCAATGTGCATGAAAACATTAAAGCAGGAAAATCTAGTAGATCAACTTTGGGATCTTCAGGACAAAAGGATGGAAAATCTTCATTTTCTGTTCCTGCTTCACAAGTGGGCACTGACAGCTGCTGTGTGGTACCTCAATCTTCATTGAGACCATTGGTTGGAAAAGTTTCACATATTTTGAGGCTACTGAAGATTGGCCTACTTGACATGGATGCTGCACTCCCTGAAGTTGCTTTGAGGCCTTCTAAAGCAAAGTTGGAAAGAAGACAGGCTTGGCGTTCATTTGTTAAATCTGCAAGGACTATATATGAGGTTAGTGCCTTTTTTCGTGATTTTAATCTGATGAGTTTCTCTATTAACAATCCTTGTTCCAACACATTTCTCAATCCTGAGTCTCTCTGGTGGTGAGCATTTCCTGGGCCCCAAAAAAAATCTGCACAAGTTGGTTTAATTGTGAATGCCAATTTAATGTTTGACTGTTCAGGCCCACCACTCTGATCTCAATGCCTCTCATTGAGTCTTCTCCTTATCCTGCCCCTACTGGATGTAATTAGTAGCCTCTTTAGCAACCTTGTATTTTGCTGGTCACTGATTTTATTTTTTGATCATAGGTAAAGCATAGCCTGGAATTTGTTGGACTTGTTTTCCACAACTTTATGGATGTGAAAAATTGAGTTTCCTTTTCTTTTCAGATGGTTCAGGCGACATTTACACTGGAGGACTTGATTAAGACAGAGTACTTAAGAAATGACTGGTGGTACTGGTCATCACTCTCAGCCGCTGCCAAATCTTCTACTTTGTCATCCCTCGCCCTTCGAATATACACCCTTGATTCAGCCATTATGTATGAGAAAATGTCAAGTTCAAGTTTTACTGATTGCTCGGAACCTTCTGTGGTAGCAGAACAGAAAGCACCAGCCACTTCGGATGCAGAGAAATCCAAAGCAATACGGAAGTCAAGCAGGAAAAGGAAGGAACCTGATGGTTAAATCATGGAATGTATTTCTTGGCTGAGTCAAGTCCAGAAAGTTGATCCCATTGATGCGTGACGTGAAATGATCATCCGCCAACATTGTTTGGATGGAGTGGTTACAGGTCAACTACTGGGGGTTCAAAGGGGCAGCTGTAAACTGCTGGTGCCACTTGCGTGCTTGTACATATAGGTAAAGCTGACTTGCTAACTCACATGCCGGTTTTGGCAAAGCAGAATTTGTAGAATTTTCTGCTCGTAGTGACAGCACCAGCAGGTCCAGCACCAAGAAATTATGAGGATCGATGCAATTTTGAGTAACTGCTGTTGCTGTCGGATTGGTTGCTTGATGGGTAGTGATTATATTTTTCATTTTTGTAGCAGTCTGATCCTTATATGTATACAAACGGAAATGATGTAAAGATATAGAAAAAGGGGGGAGAAAAGGATAATGTCTAAGTGAGAAAATGTCAGGTTGAGCAGTTGTAGGCAATATTTCATTCTTTTATGCATTTTCGTTCTCTAACCACTGAAAATGCTGGCCACGCATGCTTGCGCATTTGTTTTTGGGCGTCTGCAGATGTGGTTGAATGCAGGAAAGGAAAATTATTGGAATTGCATTTTTCCAACTGCGTCATTGTGTAAGTATACGATGTCGTTTAATTTGCTTATTTTCGTGATTTCCGATTAACGTTTCTTTTCAATCCGGCGGGGATTACAGCATACTGAGACACAGATTTGTAAAATTTATTCTCTATCCTCAGTCATACATTGGGGCATTGGCACTGCCCTCCTTCCTCTATTGCTGGATTTGCTATCTTCACCCTATCCATTAAGGGAAGCGCTTCTGCCGAAGATGACTTGAATTCGACTTTTCGCAGCCAAATTTGTTGAAGACTTGAGTTGGGCATTTAAAAAAAAAAAAAATCAAGGGCCTGTTTATTCCTGTTGAAAAAAATGTTATTTTGAATTTGTCTAGAAATTTTTGGAAAGGTAGAAATTATTTTACATTTGGTTATGATCCTAAAAATAGTATATTGCTTAATGGTCTTATCAGATGTTGTGACTGTAACCAGCATTATTTTATGTGCACGCAACTAATTATTTTCGGTAACTATTCAAAATAACTTCGCATTTTTTTTCTTTGAAGTTCGAATAAAAATCTTTAATTTTTTTTTTTAAAAAAGATGAGACAAATGGGCCCTGAATTTCATATAATTTTTTAAATTTTTATCTCGTTCAAAATTTTTAAGAATTTGACATTTTCCACAAGAAAAAAAGGGGGGGGGGGGGGCTTTGTTTACCTTGTTTATTATTTGTCCATTACAACAAAGCTATTCTCCCATAAAAATGGGCTTCTAATACGGCCATCTTCAACTAAAACACAATGCGGCCGGAACTTTATAGCATTAAAGTCACGAACTAGGTCCAGATACATGGATATCTTTATTGGCCTTGTACAAGTACAACACTTGACATACTGAGTATTGACTACATTACCGAGCATTATTTATTAAACTCTACTTAGACCCATCGTCTCCCAGCTCCAGAATGGGTGGAGGATCTCTTCATTTTTTTCTCTCCACTTCCCCCATCTCAACCATTCATAATAAAAAGAAAGAAATGGAGAGGTTCCTCTCCCCGGAATCTACTCTACCAAACCGGAAGTTTTGCTATTCTTTCCCCTACAATACAAATCTTCTCGATCAAGCAACTCAAGTAAACACACAACTACGGCAAATTACAGCCTTTTTTTTTTGGGGGGGTTAATTTGGTAAATAGACACCACATGTTATTGTCTCCGATAAGTAGTTTTTAAGACCACACCCACCAACCCAATGCGTCGCCAGGCTCGTGGTTTTGGGCATGTAATTCAGAGGCCACAAACGCATCTGAGAAGTAGCTCCGTCCATCATCACTCCCATCATCGTCCTCCGATTGAACCCCATTGACACAGGCAATGTATCCAGTATAACTGTCAGCAGGAAAGTATGAATCAACACTGTCCACAACAAGCTGTGAGCTATCCCTGTCCACAACTGCGCTTCCACCACTCCCCGTGCTCAGTCGATCCTCCACCCTCATGCTGAATGGTAGCGCTGAAAATTGATCCGTATCCGCTGGAAGAGGGTCAATTTTTTGATTAAATATTGGTCCTCCAGGCTCATCCTTTGCTTGAAGCTTCTCATTCAGTGATACCACCTGTGGATGAATCAATATATTACTCATGGACGAGTAATTTGCCTACCCCTCTTTTAAACAAGTCAACAGTATTTTACAATGCGAAGCCTCGTCATATTTTGAGAAACTATATTTCATAATGTATGAGAAATAATAATTTAAAAAATGACTTATTTTAAAAATAAAAATTAGGAGAAGTACTAAAAAGATAAAACAAATACAATCAATGGGCTTTGCAGACGGAGAGATAAAAGTATGAAGTATGTATTATATTATATTGTAGATTCCAAAAAGTTGGAGAGAACTCCCAATCATTTTCTTTGATGGAGTTCTGATACGAAAGGCACTTGTTTTATCCAAGACTGGAACTCACGCCACAACTCCTAGCGACCTATTATATTCATCCAAACTTGCATCTAGCTTTAGGCATGGATGCAATCTACGTAGCACACAAGAATAAATTGTATTTCGGATCATATACACTTCATTCATCAACTCGGCATCCCAAGGATGATGATTCTCTGAAAATAGTAGGGTATGCATGTGTATACATACCTCAGATTTAAGCTTTTCATTCTCCTTCGCAGTGAATTCGTATTTTAAAAGGAGCGAGTCGTAGGAAGACTTGAGAGTATCAAAATCCCTTTCAAGTTGCTTGGTCTTCCAACGAGCCCTGCGGTTCTGAAACCAAACGGCGACCTGCCTTGGCTGCAATCCCAGCTTAGTGGCCAACTGGCTCTTCCTTACTGGCTCCAGTTTGTTCTCTGCCTCAAAGCTTTTCTCCAACAGATGAACCTAGGAATCAACCGAACCAATTGTTACAAAATAAAACAACTGACAAGCTGTTAAACAAGTTTGTCCAATCACATGTTTTCCCCGCATCCTTAGATGTGGTCGCTTCTTTAAAATCTAAGCGAACAAGTCTTCAAAAAATATCTCCCCTCCGAATGACTGTACTTTGGGAATCCCCATATGCTAGTAAAGTGAACAGTAAATTGACTACAGTAAGATTTCAGCTGAAGTTATGCTCAACTCCCATAACAAGCATCTTTTTTATAGGTCAAGTGGCTGAAAATTGAAATTCATTAGTTCTTATTTATCGAATCAAAATTCTATCTTAAGTAAAGTGCCCTTTTATTTTCACCAAAGAACAGAAAGCCAAACCCATATCCTTAGATATTGGTAAGATTGTTGTCGAGAAAAGGATCGCTATCACAAAGGAATAATAGACTCGATACTTGTCAATGTAAGCATAAGCATATTGAACAACTAGTCATCCCCGCAAACCTGCTCGGGAGTGAGACGACGCTTCTTCTCTGGCAGCTGCTCATCATAATATTCCTCGTCTAACAGTTCCTCCGGTGAGCTGAAGAAAGGTCGTTTCTTTGAGGTTTCATCCGAGCTCATCATCGAACTTCCTGCTTCATTTAAATTAATTCGTAAAACTCTCAGTTAATCTAGTAACATCCAGGAAGAAAAGGCACAAATCGTCAAGAGAATAATAAATTAAAATCGAATCTAATTGATTTGTATAGTCTGAGTCAATGATGAATCAAAGCATGCTCAATGCAATCAGAGTGTCTCGTGTGATATAAAGACAGTTTGTAACGCTTTTTCAATCGTTGGAGCGATTTTTTTTTATATGCAAACAGAAAAATTAGGGTGAATAGCAATCAGCAATAGCACAGTGACTTTAACGAACACAAATTAACTGTGCGAAAACTCAAATTAGAGGAGCGACAGAAATCACCTCCAAATCTGATGTCACCATTTCGGAGGAACAGCATCGTCCCGCGGCAAGCGGAAGACTCGAAGAAAAGACTGCCGGACTCCATAGTTCTGATTTCTAATCTGTTCTCCCGAGGGTGAGATATCTCCACCGAAACCGTCGTCGACAACCGCGAGATATGGGGACAAAATTACTAGAGACTTGCTTTGTCTTGTTTGTCTATAATTTATGTATCAGTCGATTTGGTTTTACAGTATTTACCTAAAAGATCATTAGCTTATGGCGGAAGAAGCTTGTGGTCCAGAGCAACCTGGCCGGAGTCTCCAACGGGCATATGCAAAATCCCATCATACACCAGCCAATGGAACCAGGCCCCGGCTATACCTTCTGGTTGTCAGTTTCGGGTTTCGTTCGTGAGAGGGTTTATTGGGAGGACTAGGCCCAGAAAGAAGGTCACAGAACTTGCATTTGGAGTTCCTTATACAAATTTGGATATATGCTAGAAAAGGAAGTGATTCGGAATCAGGGGAACGACAGCCACCGGCTTTGGGATCACCGGCGAGCGCTTCGTGTTCGTCGCACTGTGTGTCAGTGCGGTGGGCAGCTTCTGCAAGTAAAGTTGAAAGTGGGGAGGCCATCATGTTTTATAGTGGTATCGTTATAGTCGAATGACATAAATACCCTTGATCCCACGGCTTCTCCACGGGGGTATTTTCGTCAAATTCCAATGTGCGTGGTTTTACATGGGGTAGGGAGCATCCGCTAACTTGCGCGCCATGGTGGAGGAAATGCCAGCAATTCTTTGTGGATTGTTCATAAATTGAATTTTTTTTCATCATACGAAATTTGGAAATTAGGCACGCTTTTTTCTTGGCTGAAAGTACTTTACACATTTTTGCTCAAAAAAAAAAAAAGAAAGTACTTTACACATAACCGCAGGCACTTACAGGGACCTATCACGTTTCATGAAACACAGCTGAGCAATTCCTCATCCGATCCCTATTACATCCATAAGGCCAAAACCAAACTTAGCAAACGTAAAAACAAAAACATGCTCATGAGAGTGCAGGGGAGAGATATTAGAAACAAACTATAGAGCAGTTTGAAATCATTTTTATTTTATTATGAGAATTAGTATTTTATAAAACAGATTTTGAGAATAAAAAATAATAAAAATAAGTATTTTTTTTCACTTTCACTTATTTTTCAGAATAATAATCCCAAAATATTTAAAATTTATTTTTATTTTTTTATTTTTTAAAATAATATTTTTTTCTCACACTTTTTAAAAATATATTATCAAATAATTTTTTTATTCTTTTATTTTGAAGAATAGAAAACTCTTCTCGACCGTCGTACACAAGAACCTGCTGGCACGAAACAAATACTTGTTATATATTTCATTGCATGTACATTGATGTTTGAGCATCCATTACTTTTTTTGACATTTCTCTGTTTCGTCATATTATCGCATAAACGTTATATTACAGGATATTGGCAATCAATGAATTAAATTCATCAGCTTAGGACACACAGGATCTAAAATTAAAAGGGGGAAAAGACTTTAGCAGATGCCGGATCCTATTATAATGTTACAACATAGCATGTGGGACTTGCCGATTTGTGTTTCTCTCTTTCCTTATGACAACGATGTGTATATATATAAACAAATTGGTGCACATGTTGAAGCTTGATTTTAAAATGCTGGAATGCATGAACCTATTGTCCACAGAGCCAACGCAGTTTGAACCCACTTGCACTTAAACATGAGTTAAGACATAGGGAATCAGGATTTATAGAATTTAATAAGAATATCCAAATGAAGAAGGAGAGGAAAAGCAGGAATTATAATGAGTGGTGGTTTGGGTTGGATTCACATGGAAGGTGGTGCTTTTATCAATTTGTGAAAATGAAGGAAGGACCAATTCATATTATTCTGGAACAGACTAGTTCCCCGTATAGCTGCCAAATGTTGTCCTCCTAACATGATGCAACCCACATAATTTTTTACCCAACAACACAATAAGTCAATAACAATGACATATATATATATATATAATCGTAAGAGCTTTTTCGAACTTTTAATCGTGAAACTTGATATTAAAGACGTGTATATGGGTTTGATCAGAAAAGAATATAGTCTAGGTTCAGTCTGCTTATTAAAAAGAAATGAAATAAAATAGATTAAAAAAATAAAATGATTAAATATGATATGTGAGTATATTCAAAAGGGGGGAGGATAATTTAATTCATGAAATTATAAATCATGATTTATGAACTTTTTAAAAGGTATGATGATCTATACTCAGAAGAAGGGTGATTTACTTTATTTTTATTTTAATTTTTTTAATTAATTTCATTCCATTTCATTCAAGTAATCATATATGACTTAAGTTTAGCTTTGTATATATACGAGAATGGAACCTATCCGAGAAAGAAAATGTGTGTGAAAAATATATGGGATATTGCGAGACAGAGAATAGCATAGAAATGGTAATCAGAAAAGCATATATATGCTGCAATGCCATCATTATAATTATTCTATAAATCTCAACGTTGCCTCCTCATTTTTTTTTTCATTTTTTCATTTTTTTTAAAACGATTCAATTTCATTTGAAGCAATTGTTGTGCGTGTGTTGTCATTTCATCAATGAGAGGCTATAATTAATTGAGTTCTAAAATTATTTTTCAGTTTGTATGAGGTAATATTGCGTATTTTACACGGATGATACGCGGAGAATAAATAGATCGATTATTCTGAAAAAGACACGTGAGTTAAGTGATTGATAGTTACATGCCATCTCTTACAGTCAAAAGAAGGAAAACGACTTGTTCCCATTCAACCAAAAAAAAAAAAAAAAGCTGAGGGATCCACAAAATTCAAAGTAGTGGAACAAAACCATTTTTAAAATTAAAAAGAAAAACTACCCAGCATTAGCTGATTAGAAGATTGTATAGCTTAAAAGATCTCCAATTCAAGTTCTAAATATGAGCATTATAATTAGTCTAAGTCAAATCATTTTTTTTAGAAAATATATATCTCAAAGAAGTGTTTATAAATTATTAATAGAATTAGTTTAGGTTAAAGATATAGGACATTAGAAAAAAAAAGAAAAAGGAAAATGAAAAAAATATAAATAGCTAGCTATCTTTTAATCTAATAAAGGTGTGTTTGAGACGGGTTAATTTTAGTCAGAATATAAACATGTTTTTCACCAAAACCAACAAAGTACCAAACACGTGTTGAGAAGAGAATGATTTCTCTTCGACAAGATGTATACTTATTTTAAAATATATATTTAATTTATAAAATTTATATTATTTATTGGTTACCAATTAACAGTGAAGTTTCTCTTGGACATGTAATTTTTTTATTATTTAAATATTTCTTGACACATTTTATTGGATTCCACGCAACATTTTTTTATCCATTCGATCTTTTTTAATACTTTGACAGGATTTTAAATGTTAAAAATAGAAGTATGTTCTTTTTAAAAAAAAAAAACGTGTGTATTAAGTGAATCACAAGGAAAAAAGATATCAAGTTCAGTTTTTATACATTGTCAAATGGAAATCGCAGTGAATGAGAAATCCGTTTCATTAATTAGATTATGGAAGTCGGCTAAATATTTAAAAATTCGAAAAAGATCAAGTTGTATGGATTCTGGTGCTCTTTTGACATATTTTAAGGTTTGAATGCAAATAGTCATGAGATGAACAATGGCTTAGATTTAAAAATAGAAAATTATATAAAGTCTCTCGTAACAAATTTAAATACTATAAAATTTATTAACAATTAAATACAAAAAAAATTAGCATATTTAGTTGTCATTTTTTTAATTTAGTTATCAATAAATTTTAAAGATATCATAAAATGAACTATGATTGAAGAAATAATTAAAATATACAAAAAGGTTGCAAGATTTTTCAGACTTGGCGATCCCACCAAAAAGAAATATATAAAAAAAACATATGACTTTTGGAGGAGTTAGTGGTAGAGCAAGCACATGACTAGATGCCATCTGAACTCGAAGAAGGAGGAAAGAAAATTCTTTTGATGAGATTTTATATGCTTTTGGTTGATGACGATGATGATGATGATAATGATTAATTGATAAATTATAAATTAACCTGGCATGTGTTTGCCAGCTGTCCATAATTGTTAATGGTTTTTGTGGGTAGGAAATAATTCTTTAATTTACTCCTTAAAAAAAAAACAGAGAAAAGAAAATGAAATGAATGAAGTGGGAGTCATCCTGGTGAGAAGCAAAAGTATTTCTTCGTTATCCTCCGAAAGTAACAAAAGGCAAGGAATCTTAATTTCCTTCGTAACATGGTAATATCAGTTTTCAAATCTATCACATATAGACATATGATTCTTGATCATCTTGTAAGATTCATTTCCTGATTAACAACTCTAACTAATGGAATCAAGGGAACAACGCATCAACATCAGTGAGTATATTACTTTAATTTACTTTACGCCATTTATAGATCCTCCCTAGAAGCATTCACATGTCTGACCATTTTCGTGTGTGTGTGTGTGTGTACATATAACATTTGGTTTAGTTTAATCATGATATTCACATGCGGGCGTTTCTAAGTTTAGAACTTCCACAGTTAGATCCGTATGGATAAGAATTACTAATTCCTCATTTATAAAACATTAACTCGTGTAAGAATTTGACATAGGTTCTTTCTTGAGAAATATATGGTCTGCCCTTAATGAATTAGACCTTAGAAGGAGAAGCCCAAATCCAAGCTAATAATTAATTAAAAAATTAGATTAATTATTTATTTAATTAAAATAATTATGGGCTGTGAATAGAGGGAGCAGTTTTTATTGAATCTCAAAAATTGCCAACTAAAACTAACATGCCATACATGTTAAATATTGGAAAGAGAAAAATAATATTCTCTTTGTTTCTATTTGAAGGAGAAACTATCATTTTTTATTTTTTTTTATATAAGTAAAATCATATATTTTAATAAGCATTTATTACAAATTTTTTAAATCACCCCTCATAATTTACATTAATAAAAAATAATTAATACATGCTTATATTGATTAACATATGATGTTTTAGTTCAATTTTTTTATTTTCAAACATAATTATTATGGTTAATTAACTTTTTTAAATTATGTGATATAGTTTATATATATATATATATATATAGAAATGGAGGGAGTAGGTTCTCTTAAAAAAACTTAAACATGCTCTCTCTCTCTCTCTCTACACTACGTAATGGTAAGAAGAGGAAGAGTGTAAATCAAACTCTCATAACTCACTCTCAATTTGTTAATACTTAATTAAATCCCTGGCTTAGGGGCTATTTGTATAGCTTCTCCTTTACTTTGTCCCAAATATTTTTGAGTTCCATTTTTTTAATAAAAAAGAGAGCTTTAAGGGGAAAAGTTGAAAGTAGGATGAGGAAGTGGGGAATGAAAATGCAATAAAAGAAGAGGAGAAGGCTTTTGAAAAATGGGAAGTGCGGGAGTGGGCTTGGTGTTGTCAATTCTGTGGTTGACACAGATGATAATGGTGATAAAGTGAGAGAGCATATATGTGGTGTGTGTGTGTGTGTGTGTGAATACATGTACTTATAAGTGATGGTGCTGCTGCTTTCCCTCTCCCTTTTATTGTTAATGGAATAGTCTCTATCTTAGTGTCATTGCATATGCTTCCATTTTAAATATTGTTCTCCTTTTTTTTTTTTCATTCCTCTTTGAAAGATTCCAATTTCCCCGATCAGGAGGGATAACTAAATTGGGCCTTCTCCCAAGTCCAGCCCACATGGCCCAACTAGAAGGAATTAGTTCCACCGAAACCACAAACACGAAGAAGCCACCTGGAATATTTACAAAAAATATGAGTGGAAATTTCTCTATTTAATTTGATGGTGTGCAACTCAAAGGAGGATATACTTCCAAAAATGATCTCTGTATTTGCACAAAAAAGGTTTCATTCTCATTGAATTAGATACGCTTTGCAAACACTAAAACATTGAAGTTTAACAAATTAGGGTTGGCAACTTGTTGGGAAAAAACAGGGTTAAGGTACATTTTAGTTTTGAAGTATTTTTTAAAAAACACCCAACATCTTAATTTTTTTTATTGGAGAAATCTTGCCCTTAAATTATTAAAATGAAGTATTTTTATCCTTTTTATCAAATTTTTTTAATGGTTAAAGTTTGAGATTAATGTTGAAAATTTGACTGAAATAGCAAAAATGTTCTATTTTAATAACTTTAAGGATTAAATTGTTTCAACAAAAAATATTAGTGTGCTGAGTGTTTTTTAAAAAATATTTTAATGATAAAAATGTACCTTAATTAAAAGGGAAAAAAAAAATAGCTGGCAAATCTTACATGGGGATATATAGAACGTGTATTTATTGATCAACCTTCCAATTATATACGTGACGTTAGGCATTCTGTCTGCGATTCTCGTTTTCACATAAGAAAATATCACAATTTCGACACAGTTGGAAAAAAAATTATCTGGGTCCATCGGACAATGTGCTAGAATTTCGATTGGTTGGTAATATATACTTAACGTACACAAATATTTAAGAGAAAAGGATTATTAATTTATTACCTTTTCAACGTAAGTGTACACGTGATGATGACCAGGATTCTTTTTCCCTGTAGAAGGATGAGATTTTCAAAATGATGCAGAATAGCAAGGAAATCTTAAGAAATTTAATGATCATATACAAAATGATAATTTTTAGAGTGGTGAGTTTGGGATAGAATGCAAGATAATTTGCACGCTACCTTTTAGGGCCGTATAACAGTAATTAATCTAATATAGTATTTCATAGAAATACGAATATGTGAAGGACTGAAGGATGTATAAGGAAATTAATAAAGTAGGAAACATTAGTATATAAGTAGCAGTCAATTTGGCTGTGCAAATAACAGAAGAAAGATTTTAGAAATGGCGAGTGCTGCTGTGGCACGTAACGTTGTGGGCATTATTGGTCTGTCCTGATCAACTGTTGAGAGTCTCTCCAGTCTCCATTCTTTATAATTTTCTACTTAAATTTTTGTGGCTCTAATTTGAAACCTTTTTTGCATTTTCTCTTAATTTTTCTTCTTGAGCAGGCAATGTCATTTCTTTCGGCCTTTTCCTGTCACCAACGTAATCTTTCTCCCTTTTCTCTATCTTTCAATGCGTAAATATCTTCGCCACAGCTTTTGTTTTATTCTTAGACTCTTGATTAGTTTGATTGTGGTGGGTTTAATTTTACAGTCCAACATTTTACGGAATAATAAAGAAGAAGGCGGTGGAAGAGTTCAAGCCAGATCCTTACATTGCAACCATACTAAACTGTGCGTTTTGGGTGTTGTACGGAATGCCCTTTGTGCATCCTCATAGCATTCTGGTGCTCACCATCAATAGTGTTGGACTCGTGCTTGAGTTCGTCTACGTCATCATATTTTATGCCTATGCCACCAACAAAGGAAGGGTACGTATAATATATACAAAAGCTTCTTTAATTCAAGCTATGTATGGGACTGGTCTCGTGCATGTTTAATTTCATCGATCTCCTACTTTAATTTGTTCAGAAGAAGGTCCTGTTGTGGCTTTTAGTGGAAGCAATCTTTTTCACCGCCATTGTTCTCATAACAATGCTGGCACTTCACGGGACTAAAAGAAGGTCATTGATAGTGGGTGTTTTGTGTGATGTTTTTAATGTCATGATGTATGCTTCTCCTCTCACAATCATGGTACGTTTTTTTACGTATCCAAGCATTCATTTCTTTGTTTTCTTCTTTTGTTTTTAAATTTTTCTCTCTATGTATAAGTCGATGATGTGATGTGATGTGATGTTATGAGCAGGCAAAGGTTATAAGAACTAAGAGCGTGAAATATATGCCATTTTGGCTCTCTGTGACTAACTTCTTAAATGGACTGTGCTGGACAACGTACGCGCTCATTCATCCATTCGACATTTACGTCCTGGTATATTAAGATTCTTATTTATGGTATTTTGAATGGAAACTTTAATTTTACTATTGATTAATAATAATGCGTTGTGTTTAATGACAATTTGTTGCAGACTAGTAATGGGCTTGGAGCAATTTCTGGTGCTTTTCAGCTCATACTGTATGGATGTTATTACTGTTCTGGGAAGCAGGCGAAAGAGAAAGATGTTTCAACGCCAAATGATATTCAGATTTCTACTGTCGCGTCAATGCAAGTAGTGTGAACCTGCGACAAAATCACCGGTCACCACATCATCAAAGCTTTATTTACCTTTTCTTTTTTTATTTTTTGCCTGCATACACAACTTTTAATATATAAATGTGTAATGATGTTGCTTATCAAAAAATAAAAAAAAAGGTATCATGATGTTAATTATGAGATTCGGCATCACTCAAGTTTGGATCGTTCCTCAAGTAAAAATTGGATGGTTTGGATATAATATTATTTCGTTTTATTACTTTTAAAAGTTAAAATGTATGTGTGCTCCTCAATTATTTTTCAAAAAGCACACAGTATTTTAAATTATATTAATTTTACTTTTAAAATAATTAAAACATAATGTATTTATTTTAACTTAAAATACTTTAATGTTGACTGGGACTTAAATTTGGCCCAAAATTATGCCACCTATCATGCCAAATAGATTTAAGTTAAGTTATATTTTTGCTTAGAATTATTCTCTAATGAACACCTAATATCTTAAATTATTTTCGTCGTATTAATTTTGCTCTTAAAATAATTAAAATGTACAAAAATGCACATTAACTTTGATTCATTTGGCTTGACAGGTGACATTTTCAGTCAAACTTAAGTCTTAGTTAGCATTTTAATTATCAACATTGAGATATTTAACATTATAAGTAAATATATTACATTTTAATTATTCTAAAAATGAAATTTCTATCACAAATTAAATAAACAAGGCACTGGGTGTTTCTCAAAGAATAACTTAGAGATAAAAATGTATCTTATCCATACTTTTAACAGTTTTTATTTGTTTTAATTGGTGTGAAATATAAAATAAAGATCATCTTACTATATAAAAATGACTTAGTATTTTAAAAAATCATAAATTAAAATTTTAAATTTAGAATACTCAAAACTAATTTGTATTATCTATATTTTATGTAAGGGATGAATATCACTATGCAAACAGAAGCTGGACGCTCAATTGTGAATGATTACAAAATTTGAATGTATCAATTAACCAAACAAAATAAATTAAAACAATATTTAGGACCTGTCTAATTTCTGTTTTTAAAAATATTTTTTTTTACAAAAAAATTAAAAAATTCAATTTGATAAGTATTTTAAATTAAATTGTTTTAAAAATTATTTTTATTTTTTTTTAAAAAATAAAAAATTAGAAACATTTTAAAACTATTTTTATTTTATTTTTCTTATTTTTAAAAATAATTTTTAATTATAAAAATTATTTTTAAATTAAGGCAGCCAAACATTATTTTATTTTATTTTAAAAAAATATATTGTAAAATAATTTTTAAAAACAATAAATAAAAATATAAACCAAACGTGCCCTTATCTTCTCATTCTTCAATTCTGAAAATATTCAATAGGAACATCATTTTTTTAAGAAAAAATTAATTATTTAATCTCTATAGTTTTGACTTAATTATAATTCAATTCCTGAACTTTGATTCATTATAATTTAATTCTTAAAGTTTTAAATTAGTTATAAATTAGTTCATGAACTTTGCCTCTTGTAATTTAATTCCTGAAGTTTTAATATTTTAAATATTGGTTTCTATATTTTAAAAAAATAAAATTATAAAAATTAAAATATTTTAAAATTTATTAATAATATTTTAAACTATTAAATCATTTTAATATTTATAAATATTAAAATTTTAAGATATTTTTAATCTTTATAATTTTATTTTTTAAATATACAGATCAATATTTAAGAGATTGAAATTTTAAAAATTAAATTGTAAGAGGTAAAGTTCAAAAACTAATTTATAACTAAATCAAAATTTTAGAGACTGAATTATTACAAGTTAAAGTTGTGGGATTGAATCACCATTGAGTCAAAACTATAAGGATTAAATAATTAATTTTTTTTTATCTAATTATAAATGACAAGGTTTAGTTTAAAATTTGAACTTTTCAGATAATTTTTTTTTGTTGACCAAACTCTTCAGATAATATTTCAAACCTATCAATTGCCACGTAAACTATTTTCTTGCATACCATTAAAGTTTCCAATGTAAATTCTGAGTCTCCGTACTTACTCTCTTTTATAGGATATATAAAGTTAAAATTTTTTTTTTTGAACAGATATGTAAAGTTAAAATTTATAACTAAAAGAATGCTTAACTTTTTCAAAGGAACGTTTGGTAATATTATGTCAAGTAATATACATGAATTTAAAATAATTTTTATAAGAATTACATATACTTGTTATCTTTAAAATATATGTTTTATTTTAATTTTAATATAAAATATATATATCATCCAGGAAATATTTTTAAATTAATTAATTATTTTCCAAGGTAAATTTAAAATCAAATTCAGATACATCTTTTTGATTTAATTAGTAGCCTAAGACTAAAGATTATCAATAAAATTAAAAGTTAAAATTTTAAAAAAGTTATTTTTATCCAAAGAAAATTGTTTAATAGCGAGTTAATTATCTTATCCACTATATATATATATATATTATTTTACATATATAATTAAAAACAAAGTTGTGAGGGATTAGGAAAGTCTCAAGCGTCATATAAACAATATACCATACCAACCCGAGTTTTAAAATCACACATAACCTAAGCTCTTCTTATAGCGATTCACTCTCACCAACATCTCTACCATTAATTTTTGCCGAAGAGAAGAAGCTTTCAGAATGGCAAGCGCTGCAATAGCACGTAAGTAACGTCGTGGGCATTATAGGTTTGTTTGTCCTCTATTTTCATGCCTCTCTATTCGATTTCTTTTCTTTTCTTTTCTTTTCCCCTTTTTAAGCTTTAATTAAAAAAAAATTAAACACGTTCACAATTAATCTCCCTAATATATTTATGTTGAGTCTCTCTCTCTCTCTCTTGTTTGTCTGCAGGGAATGTCATTTCTTTTGGGCTTTTCTTGTCACCGGCGTAATCTCACTTGCCTTGTCTCGTACATATCTCTCTTTAATATGTGACTGTTTAAGTGCTAACCATAATTTTGGGACGTGACATGACATACATACATGCCAACGTTTTATCGGATAATAAAGAAGAAGTCGGTGGAGGAGTTCAAGCCAGACCCTTATCTGGCAACAGTCTTGAACTGTGCGTTTTGGGTGTTCCATGGAATGCCTTTCGTCCATCCTCACAGCATTCTCGTCGTCACCATCAACAGTGTTGGCCTTGTCTTTGAATTTGCCTATCTCATCATATTCCTCATCTACGCCCAAAACAAAGGACGCGTACGTACGTACGTACGTTTATGCTAGCTTCTCTTATCCATGTCCATATATATATATATATATGATTGTGAAACTCATTTTTAAATCTCCTCATTGTTACTTTTTTCAGAAGAAGGTATTTTTGTGCCTTTTAGCGGAGGCTATTTTCTTTGCTGCCATTGTCCTGATAACATTGTTGGTGCTACATGGGACTGTAACGAGGTCGTTGGTGGTGGGCATTCTCTGTGATGTCTTTAATATCATGATGTATTTGTCTCCACTCACAATCATGGTAAGTTTTTTTATGTGGTATCAAACTGATATACATTACATGATATATAGTATGTTCATTTGTCTCTTTTGGGACTAAAATATATTCAACTCAACACCTGTTCTAATATCTTGGAGTGACGTGTGTATAAACAGGTAAAGGTAATAAAAACCAAGAGCGTCAAGTACATGCCCTTCTGGCTCTCTCTGGCTAACTTCTTAAATGGATTGTGTTGGACAGCATATGCTTTGATCCATCCCTTCGACATTTACGTCCTGGTAATTCATCTTTCCTTTATTAACATACATATATCTCTGTTATTTCTTGTCGGTCTTTTAATGAGAATTTTTCATTATATTCTCTGAAAATTTGTTTAATTTGTTGGCTGCAGATTAGTAATGCTTGCTATTGTTCCCATGCACAACCAAAAGTGGACGAAGATGCTTCAAAGCCAAATGAGGTTCAGCTTTCTGCCATCGATGCAAGCGCCAACGTCTGATAGCATCCCAGCACCAAATCTCTTGTATTTTTTCAATAGATCTCCATTTTTTTATATGATTATTGGAGTATTGGCAGGCCTAATTGAAAGTGTATAATTCTTTCAAAATTATTTTTTGTATTTACATAAAAATACCACAACCCATTGGACCAACCTATTAGTCTCAATAAATCTCCTTTTTTATGCATATTTTTTTATAATCTTTGTTTTTGACCAAATATTTTTTTTATAACCTTTTGCTTTCATATTTTATTCGCAAATATGTAAATGTTAGTCCCTCCGTCAAAAAAAATATGAAGCATTTTTTTATCAAATTTTACTCTCAATAACATAGTTATTTATTTTTAAATTAACACTATTTTTTTTTATATTTATCTCTATTTAATAAAATGTTTCACTTTAAAATAAATATAAAGTAATTTATTCATTAGGAGCGCTTTAAAAAAATTACAATGATTACATTTTAAAATATTAAAAATATCTTGAATTTTTTAACATTCAATCTATAAAAAATATCTTATATTTTTGGACTGAGGAAGTATGATTCACACTTGTGCAATTTAATTTCAATATCATCATAAAACTAACCGTTATGGTTTAAGAGTTTTAATTTTTCAGTGAAGTCATCCAACTATACATAAAGATAAACTGGCTCTGATCCTCTCATTTTTTTTCCTTCCTCCTTTTTTCTCTCCATCTCATCTCCACCCCTAAATAATAGAATGAATGGTTTAGATTTAACTATTTTATAAAATAATTATCATAATACCATATAAAAAATAAATAAATTTAAACCATTAAAATTTGATCTGCACAATTTTATACTGTTATTAAATTTTTTTATAAATTAATTTTTTATTTATTTTATTGTAATTATAAAATACGTAGGTCAAATTTTAACAGTTTAAAATTATCTATTTATTTATGAGGAGAAAAAAAAAGGAGAAAGGAGATAAGGAGAGGATCTGATTCCCACCCAACCTCACCACCCCCACTCCCAAAAAAAAGGGGGGTGGGGGGAAGAACCATACATAAAAACAACAAATCTTGCGTGGCTCTTTTTTTTTTTTTGTTGAAACGGATTTTTTTTTTGTTGACAATATTTGCAACTCGTAAAGATGGCAAATTGTTCTACTAAATATAACAGTGAACAAATCTCTAAGTAACATTTGTTTGGGCTCAACCAAATGCACTTGTTGCTAAAACTCATAATATGATGAACAGATTTGTTTCTAATAGAAAGACATCTATAAGCAGTGAAAAAAAAAAAAAACTCAATAAAATCACTGGTACAACTATGCTGGGTCAATAATTTGAAACAGCTACGGTCTCAGCTGTCTCAGTTGCATCAATTTTGTGTAGGGGTGTTTACGGGACGGGACGGGACCGGGACACCCCTGTCCCGTGTCCCATCCCGAGAAAAAGATCGGAACTGAATTTTGGTCCCGTGTCCTGTCCCGTCTCGAAAGTCGTCCCGTCTCGTTAAGAGTCGGGACGGGACCGGGACAAGATCGGGACGTCCCGCCGTTCCGATAAATGGAATAATATCGAAAAAAGATCTGGATAATAACATTCATTAAAATTTTAAATCATATAATTTATTAAGTTTAAAATCAAAACAACACAAGTACATAAATAACAATAATTTAAAATCAATTATTGAATTATATTAATCATAACTACACATTATAATAATAAACACAAATGATCTTTATACTATAAGATTAGTAACAACAGACAAGTCAAACATAACATCAAATCATTGTTCTTCTACTTTAGTGAAGATGTACTAAGCTAATTACTCTTCTAAAAATAAGCAAAAAATACGTTGTAAATAAAAGTTATTAAATAGATATATATAAGAATAAATTATATTAATATAATTAATATATTATAAAGAAAGATATCGCCATGTTTACTTCATGCCATTAAAATTATCAATATAAAAAAACTTTAGTTTTAAATAAGAATTGTAAGTATTAGAATTATAATTGATATAATTAATATAAGTATAAATTATATTAATATAATTAATATATTTAAAATAAAAAATAATATATATAATATTCGGGACGGGACGGGACGTCCCGATGGTAATCTCGTGTCCCGTCCTGTCCCGAACCTCTTTCCTGTCCCGTCCCATAAAGTCCCGTTCCGATTATTTTCGGGCCGGGACAAGACCCGTCCCGATATGATCGGGACGATACCGGGCCAATCGGGACGGGTCCGGACTGAACACCCCTAATTTTGTGCCCTTCTGAGTTCTAGCATTGCATTTATTAAAAAAAAAAAAACAAGTAATGAAAAGATCTCGAGGCTTTAAAAACGGAGGAGCAATGATAAGCTTCATAAATCATAACCCAACAAAGTAACAATATATTGCTGTTATTACAAAGCTCTTCATTATCTAATGGCTTTTACAATTCGTGTCATCAACCATGATTCCTCCTTCCCTACTATTGCAATTGATTAATTACAAATTGAGCTTCTACAATACTGAATAACATCCCTCCGCTATGGATATTCTTGAGAGTGAAAAATCCTTCAAGGTCCTCGGTACCTGAGGAAACAAAAACAACCCTGAGGCTGATCAAGTGGTATCATGCCTCCACCCTTTGAAGTGTCAATAGCTTCCAACATGGAAACCACTTCGTCCATTTCTGGCCTCCGATCAGGATTAGCATCCCAGCATCTTTTCATCACATTTGCCAGAGAGCTAGGGCAGCATCTGGGTATCTCAGGCCTCAGATTCTGCAGTTTCATGAAGAAACATTCAGTGACGAGTGTCAACTTTGGTGCATCAACATTCAACAACACAAACAAAGATAGAATCCGTTGTCAGCGAAGGCAAAATTTGCAAATCACTAATGCAATGTCTGGTAGATATAAGTGTTTTTTATAAAGGAAATGAGAAATGCACTATCCAAATTTTCTTTGAAGGTAGATTTCTGATTTTCGTTTTAAAAAACACTTTTCCATAAACCAAACATGTAGTACCAGTTTTGCCTACTGCTTCTTGTTAGGAAATGACTTGTAAATTCTTTGCATGTCTATGCTGGTATAACCAAGGAATGCATTTCATATTACCTGACGTACAACAGCTGATGTCACTTCCGAGAAGCTGAGGTCTGGATATGGCATGTCACAGCAATATATCTCCCATAAGCATATACCAAAACTGTACACATCACACTTTCTATTATATGGATTACCATTTAAAACCTGCCCAGTATCAATTTCCTCATGTGAGTTAATAAATCATCTTTTGAGAAAAGAAATTAAACATGAATTAGCTATGCAAAGCTAAATCAAGCTGAAGATCATTTATAATCCTGAGATATTGGAACAGAACACTAACAGGTGGCCTACAGTTCCTAAGAGGAGGTTGAAATCCCATCTCTGGGGAAATAGATATTGGTATTGATCAGTAGCAAACTGCATGGCATCCTCTTTTTTTTTTTTTTTTTTTAATCAAGTACGCGTGTTTTTAGATGCATCCTTATGATGGATCCAATAAAAAAATACAAGATACTAGTTAGATGCTTAACTAATAAAGCAAGGGATTATTACTGCCATGATGCAATCCTGGGTCTCAGTGGTTGTAGATCCCACCGACTGAGTAACGTTGCTAATAACCAGTATGCTATGAGTAATCACTAAAGGAGCTACATTTTAGCATGCTAGATAACAAGCAGGGTATATAAAACATGTAGGTTCTGAGTAATCATTGTAAGCAGCAATGCAATTTTGAGGACTTACGTAAGTGTAGGTATTGGTATTGTTCAGTAGCAAGGTAAAGGAATCAGGCATGTACCTCAGGAGCCATGTAACCAAGTGTTCCGGTTTCACCAGTCATGTCATGAGGATTGGAAGCCTCAATACGCGCTACTCCAAAATCAGCTATTTTCAAGGTTCGAGTCCTGTCTAGAAGCATATTTTCTGTTTTGACGTCCCTGTGGACAATCTTTTCTGAGTGAAGATAGCTCAACCTACAAAGCAAAAGGAACAGAGTTCTCACGCTTAGAAAGCAAGTTTGACATATTAAAACCTGATAAAACACACATTATGTGTAGGAAACGAACCCTCTCGCAAGATCAAGTGCCAATTGGACAACCACTTTAAAAGCCAGCTTCTTTCTCCGGTTCTTTATGAGATAAGACTTCAGTGCACCACCAGGACAATATTCAACTATAACACAACAAATATTATTGGGCATGGCCATATGACCATTTTCTGTTTGTACGTGAAGCTCTGATGTGCCCATTGTTGCTCCTATAAACTGCAAAATAGATTTCACATTTGGCATGAATGAGTTAATTTTTAACATGGAAGTTTGAGCCAATATCAGAAGGAAATTCCTCATGGTAGCAATTTCCTTCAGCCTACATGCGCTTGACAGTTTAAAATTCCCCAATACAGTGTAATTAGGCTGTAACTTGGAACCATTCCCAACATTGATAGCTTCAATCATCAATATATATATAACAGGATCAATAACTAGTTCCCCACATTTTACAGGATCAAATGAATTTCAGCTCAACAACTAAACCATTTGGAATAAAGTGTCTTGTCATTCTTTAATAAAGTAAGAATCGCACTACACACACACACACACACACACAAAACAAACCAGTTCCCCATATTAGCATCATGCCAAGTCCATAACCGTATGAGATATATCTTTCTACCAGTTATAATTCTCAAATCTCAATGCCAAATTAATGTCCTACCTAAGCTGATAGGACCCAAAAGACAGGACCAAACCCTACAAGGATCTTATTGTAGGCCCCACCAACCCTACTGCCAACCAAATAACCCGCACCCTCTGCAACTCCCAAAAGAAACCAGGAAAAGGAAAAAGGACAGCAGAAATAAATGTAGACGAGTTAATCTGATTGAAATGCGACCACAATCAAGATATCACATGTCATGTACTATAAAGAAACAGAACAGTCCAGAGTTCAGGCCATATTTTCCCTCTGCAATGTCATTCAATCTGC